TTCTCATTGGTGCAGAAGATGTGGTAACACTTGTATCGCACGCTGTCTGTATTTACTATTTGCATCTGCAAAATCGAGCATTAGCTCTTGGACCCTGCCTTTCTAACCAATTATTTATCCTCTATGTCTACTACATATATTTCTAACACACCCACACGCACACATTCCCAGGAAGCAGCTTGTAGCCGCTGTCTAACTCCCAGGTACCTATTTATTGCTAGATAAACAGGTGCATCAGGGTGAAAGAAACTTTGCCCATTTATTTCCGCCTCGGCCGGGGAAAAACACACACACACACACACAAACAAATCTCCAAGATGCAGGCCACAACAGCTGTCTAACTCTCAAGTACCAATATACTGCTAGGTAAACAGATGCACCAGATCAAATAAAACGCTACCCCAATCATTTCTGTCCGAGCTGGGGGGACTGAACCTGGATCTCCCGATTGTGAGCAAATGGCGTAGCCCACTGGACCACGGGACCCCTGTGAGTCGGGGGTGTGGGGGATCCCCTTGTTACAGTGCTCCTCTGCATCACTCTTACCAGTGACACGAGCATGTCTGTGTTCCTGGATGATCGTAATCTGACAGGCAGATCACACTCTGTACCAGACAATCTCCAGCGGCTGAAGCTCCAGAAACAGCAGTTGAGAGATTCTTCCTTATCCCCTTGTAATATCTCAACAACTATTCCAAGATGTATTAAGTACCATTGAGTTCCATTGTCACTGGTAGAGATCAGATAAGATCTACATCAGCAGGTGGTTCAGACTCCCTGAGTCAGGCTTGACTCCTTGTCAAGCCTGAGCAGTGCTTGAGCAGTAGTCGCAGCTAAATGTCTACTAAACTGTTTTTGAAAAGCTGTAATTATGCTGCTTAATCTGGCATGATCCCATCACAGTCAATTATAGAGTTCTCATTATCTTGTGTTCATAAGGCTTTGTTGAAGTTCTTGATAGCATCTACCTTGACAAACTCATCAGTTCTTTCATGCATTCGGAGGTCAACATGAGTTGGGCTGCAGGTTCAATAAACTCGGATTCCATCATTCAACATTTAGTTATATCTGAACCTGGTTTTGAAGGCAAGGAGGATAAAAATGTCTTGGGAGATGATAGCAATTAAGGGTGACACAGTTAATAATAATTAATGTGTCAACTTTGAAGATAATTACACCTTTGAGCGTAATGAGTGTGGCATATATAGCTGCGTCTGGAGCGTCGACTGTCTGAAGGGTCGACTGTCTGTAGCGTCGACTGTCTGGAGCGACGACTGTCTGGAGCGTCGACTGTCTGAAGGGTCGACTGTCTGGAGCGTCGACTGTCTGGAGCGTCGACTGTCTGGAGCGTCGACTGTCTGGAGCGTCGACTGTCTGGAGCGTCGACTGTCTGGAGCGTCGACTGTCTGGAGCGTCGACTGTCTGTAACGTCGACTGTCTGTAACGTCGACTGTCTGGAGCGTCGACTGTCTGGAGCGTCGACTGTCTGTAGCGTCGACTGTCTGTAGCGTCGACTGTCTGGAGCGTCGACTGTCTGTAACGTCGACTGTCTGTAACGTCGACTGTCTGGAGCGTCGACTGTCTGTAGCGTCGACTGTCTGTAACGTCGACTGTCTGTAGCGTCGACTGTCTGGAGCGTCGACTGTCTGTAACGTCGACTGTCTGTAACGTCGACTGTCTGTAGCGTCGACTGTCTGTAACGTCGACTGTCTGTAGCGTCGACTGTCTGGAGCGTCGACTGTCTGTAACGTCGACTGTCTGTAACGTCGACTGCCTGGAGCGTCGATTAATTTGAGACAGAAGATGAAACAAGGAAAATATATAAAACGAGAAAAACCCCTCTGTAAGAAAGTTTTTTTTTTTACTTTCTCTTTGTCATCGAGGTGATGACAAAGAGAGAGTTCAAGTCCAACGGTGTCAACGGTGTCGACCTGTCCCACCTGACACCCCAAGCTTAGTTCACCCGAACGTCTGAACATTGGAAGCTCGCAAAATTCCCGCTTGTTAATCTCTGGTTGATTGTGTGGCGAATCTTTCCGTTTTTAGTTTCTTTTTAAACTAATGTGGTTGAATAATCTTTTGTTGTGTTTTGTTTAGAGTTGGGAACAGTTATGGGAATTTATTTTACCTGATTGATAGAGATTAAGCCACCCAAGTTTTGGGAATTATTCTACTCCTCAAACCCAGCCTGGAGGTCCAGGCTCGGTCCAACAGGCTGTTGCTTGGAGCGGCTGGCAGACCCCCAGCCCGTCCTCCTAAGGTTGCCCAACGTCAAGAAACTGACGTATTAAAGTCCCTATCCTAACCTACCAAATGACCCCCAAACAGAAAACTGGACAGTATGTCAATTTCGCGAGCCGCTACTATTTTCTAGTACGACAATTTTTGGCCTTAAGTAGAGTGTACGTCAAAATGAGACGTTCTATAAGGAGGACGAGTTGCAGACCCACATAGCCACTACAACCCGCATAGTCTGGCACTTCTTGCAGGAACTTCTCTAATTGCTTCTTGAAGAAGTCCACCTTTGTTGTGGCAATAGTTCTTATACTTTCTGGGGAGAGTATTGGGCAGTCGTGGACCACTGATGCTCATTGGACCATTCTTATTCTTTTATGTTTTTTATATATATCACTTCACTGAATCGTTTGTTTTCTTAATAAAACACACAAGCCCCTACTGAAGTTATTGTTACTGTTGGCCGGAGGCTATACACGGGAGAGGTGTACCCAGCTTGTGTGTGTATATATACACAGTTTATTTCAGACTTGGTCATAGGAAACATCTCCCGTCACGCAGGGTGCAGTCGCACCTCCACAGATCTCCAGTATCATATATTGATACTGGTAATGGCTCAAAAGGGCCACCACTTACGGGCTATTCATGCCCGTGCCACCTTTTGGGTGGCTTAATCATCATCAATCAATCAATCAGACTTGGTCTTACGGGCTCACCATAGCCCGTGCTACATGGACACTTTGTTCTAAGTAGCTAAATCTAAAACCACAACAACAAGACCTGGTCTGTGTTGAGGTCTAACGTGTACTTGTTGCTCTTACCAACTATGATAACCCCCCCTCCAGAGATTGGCAGGTGTTAAGCCCAACACCAGAACCCACAGGTGTTGTCCCACCAACATCTGTCGGCCACTTAAATATAGCAACACTCTGTGTTTTTGTATATATACAAATATATTTGTTGTGAGCAAATGGCTCACAGAAAATTCGTGAAATATTATATATAATCACTTTAATACACACCACACATGCCGCTCACAAGGAGGTCCCCATCAATGGATTTTTTCCTTCCCGCCAAGATAAAATAACTCCCAGAGTGTTTTTCTCCATAGCGGTTGGCAGCTCGTGCAGTGGCTCACGCTGTGTCTGTTAATGACAGCTATATGGGTCAGGGGGCGAAGGTGTGTGTGGGAGGCAGGCAGCCCTGGCAAGACTTTTACTGTTACGCTATAATCAATACCGCTTTGTATTTGTTCCCTATGAGTGAGAGAGAGAGAGAGAGAGAGAGAGAGAGAGAGAGAGAGAGAGAGAGAGAGAGAGAGAGAGAGAGAGAGAGAGAGAGGAGAGAGAGAGAGAGAAGACAGAGAGAGAGAGAGAGAGAGAGAGAGAGAGAGAGAGAGAGAGAGAGAGAGAGAGAGAGAGAGAGAGAGAGAGAGAGAGAGAGAGAGAGACAGACAGAGACAGAGAGACAGAGAGCAGACAGAGAGAGAGAGAGAGAGAGACAGAGAGAGAGAGAGAGAGACAGAGAGAGAGAGAGAGAGAGAGAGAGAGAGAGAGAGAGAGAGAGAGAGAGAGAGAGAGAGAGAGAGAGAGAGAGAGAGAGAGAGAGAGAGAGAGAGAGAGAGACAGAGAGACAGAGAGAGAGAGAGAGAGAGAGAGAGAGAGAGAGAGAGGAGAGAGAGAGAGAGAGAGAGAGAGAGAGAGAGAGAGAGAGAGAGAGAGAGAGAGAGACACACACTCACGTAGACGAGTCTCTGACCTCTCATGCTACAATCAGCGGGACTTTATTATAGACGACGGAGGGGAACTAAAGTTAATAAAGAAAAATACATCTGGAAATCTCAAAAATGTGGATTTGATATTTTTAACACAAGACTTAATAGATAAGCGATTCTTTTCTTTGCATCTTCCGTAACATGGTTGGTTTAATGACGGTGAATACCATGTATAAGGCCAGAGTTGGAATAATGTGTAAATGCAGAGTGTTCTTTCAGTAGTAATACCTTTTTTTTCAGTGTATGAGAGTTAAACCTCTTCAAAATGCTTCATCGGATTCTAGCACCTAATTAAATATATCCGGCATCGCAGTATTGATATTAACACTGAATTGGTGTTATTCAGGGCGATAAAATCTCCCTAAGTGCTACATTAAGCACGGCACGGTGGCTCCATTGTGAAAACTATCAAATTCCAATTACCAAAAAAATATGCATAAATTATTGTGCATTCATAATTAGTTAACTCGACAATATTCAGGACTATTCAATTTAAATTATAAGCAACAAGATATTAATATTTAGTATTCCGAATTGTATATCTGCCCACAATATTGTTAGGATTAGTTGCTCGACCAGGCCTCTATTTTGTTGTTGGCCTCTATTTTTTAAATATATAAATATATTTAAAAAAATATATTTATATATATTCACTTTCATATAATACAGTAAAATTAATTTGTGTGATAATGTTTGCATTTTTAAGTGTCGGAATGTTAGTGACCTGATTGGGTTTGTGAGGGATAACTCCCACTTACGTCATAAAGCTTACATATTTTCTTTTCTATTTTTTTCAGAATGTTGGCTGGATTATGTCCTGCACGCCTGGGCGAGGGCGCTGGCAGGTGCCGCGCCTCTCCCTGAGCCTTGGACTCACAGTAGAAATTTACGAAAGCTAAGCCTCACAGAAGATCAATACCCTTTGAAGAGTCTTTGATCTGCCACAATCCAGAGGAGCCTTTGATCCCGAGGAAAACATGTTCTCCGCACCATGAACGCGACGCTGTTCCTGGATTACGACGGAGGCTTGACTCGGTACTTCCCCCTGAACTGCTCGTACCTGAACGTGAGCGACTCGGAGGCGGCGCAGAACTGCTCGCTGGGGGTGTTCTCCGGCGAGGTCTCCCCCATCCACATGGTGGCCAACATCGTCATGCAGACGTGCTACGCCGTGGCCTTCCTGGTGGGGCTGTGCGGCAACACCCTCGTCATCTACGTCGTCACCAGGTTCTCCAAGATGCAGACGGTCACCAACCTCTACATCGTCAACCTGGCCATCGCCGACGAGCTCTTCGTGGTTGGGATCCCGTTCCTGATGATCACGTCGGTGCTGGGCTACTGGGCCTTCGGCACCTTCATGTGCAAGCTGTACATGATCACGACGTCGCTCAACCAGTTCACCAGCTCGCTCTTCCTGACCATCATGAGCGCCGACCGGTACATCGCCGTCTGCCACCCCATCAGCTCCCCCAAGTTCCGGACGCCCATGATCTCCAAGCTGGTGTCCCTGACGGCCTGGACCACCTCGGCCCTCATGATCGTCCCGGTCTTCATGTACTCCAACATCCTCGAGTACAACGACCTCGTCAACTGCAACATATTCTGGCCCGACAGTTTCGGCATCAGCGGCCAGTTCGTCTTCACGCTCTACTCCTTCGTCCTGGCCTTCGGGATCCCCCTCGTCCTCATCTTCATCTTCTACGCGCTGGTGCTGCAGAAACTCAAGTCCGTGGGACCCAAGACCCGGTCCAAAGAGAAGAAGAAGAGCCACAGGAAGGTGACGAAGATGGTGCTGACGGTGATCTCCGTGTACGTCATGTGCTGGCTGCCGTACTGGGTGCTGCAGCTGGCGCTCATCTTCAGTCCCCCGGGCGAGGGCCAGAGTCCCTTCATGGTCATCCTCTTCCTCATCTCCTCCTGCCTCTCCTACATCAACTCCGCCATCAACCCCATCCTCTACGCCTTCCTCAGCGAGAACTTCAAGAAGAGCTTCATGAAGGCGTGCATCTGCGCCACCAGGAAGGACGCTAACAGCTCCCTGGCGGTCGAGAACTCGGTCTTCCCGCGCCGTCGCGGTGGTTCGTCGCGTCCCAAGAACGCCAAGACCAACGAAATGGAGTCGAACGACGCCTTCACGACGCAGTGCACCAGGGACGAGCTCACCACCGCCATCACCATGACCACCAGGTCCACCGTCAGCCAGGTGGCCAGGGAGAACGGCACCGAGATCCCCACCTCCCAGCTCTGAACCCACCGTCACCTCACGCCACTAAAAATGTAATGTAACATTGAAGAAAACATCAGATACCAAATGATAATGCAGTTATAATTCTTTTAACTTGTTACATTTACTAGAGTACACACACACACACACACACACACACACACACACACACACACACACACACACACACACACACACACACACACACACACACACACATACACATACACATACACACACACACACACACACACACACGCAGTGTCTGTCTGATAGCTGAGTGGACAACGCTCTGAACTCGTAATCCTAGGGTCATATACATATACACGTGTACACAATACTGGAAAAAGAGAAAATCCAGGGGGGACACATGATTTTAACACACAAAATACTCAGGGAGGGGGAAATTAGCAGAATATCCAAGGGGGTAGACTATATGACGAGAGGAGCACGAATGCGGGAAGATATTCGGGTACTAATTTTCCACACTAGCCGCTCACAATATCAGCCCGAGTGCCACACTAGTTGAGAAATAGAGTGAATTGATAGAGGCAAATGCCACACACGGACTCAAATCCAGATATATGAAAGAATCCAAACGGTAAGAGAATTAGATGAGAGGCGGGACTAAAGAGCCGAAGCCCAACCCCAGGAAGTACAGCTAAGCACTTCTCAGTACGCGCTCACACGAATATATATATATATATATATATATATATATATATATATATATATATATATATATATATATATATATATATATATATATATATATATATAATCCAAACTAATCCAGCCAACACACCCCAACATCCTACTCATAACGGTAATCACCCAATCGTTACGTGGCAAATGCCGACCAATCACCATTCAACGGGAGGTCCTCGCGTTACCTAACGACCCATCCACCGCCCCCTGAAGGGGATTAAGGGCCATTCGCAGTTTAAAGAAGCACCAGGTCGGCTCTTAAAGGGGGTTTGAACTCCACTTCGCCTAATGGCACGTGATCTAAGTGTCAGGGAGCTGCAGGTAAGGGTGATTGTAGGGGGAGGGAGGTGTAACAAAGGGGGAAGTGGTAATGGAGAGCAATGAGAAAGACAATTGATTGAGACAAAGATGAGGAAGAGGCAGATGTTTAAGAGACGGGTGAGTAGGTGAATCAGGTGTTGGAAGTAAATAGGTGTGTCAAGGATACAGGTGTGAAGAGGGGACATATATGTAGCTGGGCCATGTGTAAAGAGGAAACATGGAAAAGGAACAGATACAATAAATATGTCTGAGAAGAGAAGGGGTAGATAAAACAAGATGTAGATGGGGTAGATGTATAATAAGAGACAAGATTAATAAGGAATTCAGTAAAGAGAGAGAGAAAAAAAACAGATACGTGGATGAGACAGCTATACCGAAAGAAAATATCTTCGACGTTCAACTGGCAGCTATAAACATTAAAAAATATATATGAACTAAAGTAGAACGGCAGGCAAAGTTGTCATCCCCTTTTCTAGAGCAAATAAAAAGGAAAAAAAAACAATTTTGCCATATACTCTTAAAAAAATTATTTAAGTTTCTCCAGAACTGTAAAGTGAACTGCGCATCAGTGCCAGCCTGAGGACCATGTTCACTTACGTGTTCACTTACGAAACCCGTAATCTTAGGAAATATTATCTCAAAATTAACTTTCCGAAATAATTAAATTTCATAGACATTTTTTACACGAGAAATTAAACCTGTTTTCAAAGAATATTTGAAAAAAAGTAACTAAGAAAATGTCCACGAAAAAATTATTTTTACGTTAAGAAGATATTTCAAAGAAAAATAACTTGAGCGAAAAAACGAATTGAAAAAAAATAAGCAATTTCTAGGGCAAACATTTAATTTGCAGCGAAATATGTAATTTCGTTAAAACTACAGAGGATAAGTAAGAGACGTCTCACTCCTGTTTACATAACCGGCCTTTCTAGGGAAATGTGGCCTGGGCTGGGCTGCTGGACGAATGGAAAAGGGGGGGGGGAAGGAAGGACAGAGGAGAAGGAGGAAAGGATAAGGGAGTAGGCAAGAGAAGGGGAAGACAAGGAAAAAGGAGAGGAAAATGAGATGGGGTGGATAAGTGGGAGGAGGACAGAAGAGGGTATGGGGCGGGAAACAGGAGAAGGTTGAGGGAAGTGGAATGACAGGGTGAGAGGAGGACAGGGAGTAAATTAGTGTAAAAAGAGTAGAGGACAGGAGAGCGGATAGTATCTTAATATAGAACAAGAGATTAGAGGAGAAAGACCACATAAAAATGAATAAAATGAAGAAATTAAAGAAACCAGGAATTTGAGATCAAATATGATAAATGCAGAAGGAGATAGATATTGAAAACACGCAAGAGAGGAAGACAGGGTGTCAGTACGTTAGAAATAGATAATAAGGCGCATGAAAAGGGTTAGTAGAGACAAATCTATCACGTTTCCATCCAATAGTCCTGAATATGTCTTCGTAATCCTGTTCCTATCGTCATTAATTCCCCATTTAACTGGATTAAATTCTAGCAGTCATATTTTCAGACCCAGTCCCGAGCGAGATAGAAATCAATTTGCAGGTTTTCACAATCCCGCTTTGCTGCGATGTTTCGCATTAGTTATGCATCATCTGCAAGTATTGATTATGGTAATGAAGGAGTCAGTTTCACATATCAAGTCGTTGGCATGGGTCCTAGTATCGATCCCTGCGGTACTTAACTCGTAATCTCTCTTCCCCCCCCCCCCACTCTGAAAACTCAGCTCTCACCCTTATCTTTGATCCCTACCTGAGAGGTACTCCATTTACGTTAAACTCTTCCAAATACACAAGCCTACTTCTCTAGCTTGTGTAAAACTTTATCAAATGATTTCTGACAATCGAGGACTATGAAGTTTGGTCCTCGCGGCCGAGCGGACAGTGTTCTAGAGTCGCAGTCCACGAATCCGGGATCAATTTACGGCCGAGGCAGAAACAAATGGGCAGTTTCTTTCACTTGGCCCCCGTGCTCACCTAGCAGTAAATAGGATCCTAGGAGTTAGCTTTTGCGGGCGGCATTCTGGGTCTGTCTTGGTGTGTGAGAAAAATATTATATATAACCTCTCCAGACACAAGTACTTAACATACACACTCACACACAACAATTGTAGCTTATTAAACTGAGTTCAGAGTTGCAGGAGACTACACGCCACCTAGTGGCAGACTTCCGTACCAACACCAACTATGCGCCTCCTAGTGGCAGACTTCCGTACCAACACCAACTATGCGCCTCCTAGTGGCAGACTTCCGTACCAACACCAACTATGCGCCTCCTAGTGGCAGACTTCCGTACCAACACCAACTATGCGCCTCCTAGTGGCAGACTTCCGTACCAACACCTACTTTTTTACTCTATTAATGTCAGCTTGATACAAATTTTCAACAATTAGCGCCCATAACCTAAATCAAGCGTGATACAATCGGTCCATAAGACTAAGATAATACACTGTTTATTTTGCAACACAATAATTTGGCAGTTTGAACATAATTTACATGTACAGTAATGGGCTCCAGGAGCCTGACTCGCAGTCATATGTTGCAGTAAATAGATAAACGGGCGATAAATTTATATATATATATATATATATATATATATATATATATATATATATATATATATATATATATATATATATATATATATATATATATATATATGGCTTGTATTGTATCGAGGTCAACTACTGCATCCCAAGGATACAATCCCACAACAGTTGCGCTGTAACCGGGGTCCTATTTACTGCTAGGTGAATAGAGGAATTAGGTGAATGGGGGAACGAGTGAAAGGAGAAGAGGTGGAGAGAGACTAAAGATGGGAAGAGAGAGAGAAGAAGAAGAAAGAACGAGTGGAGAGGAAGTGGAAAGATGAAAAAAAGACATGTAGAGAGGGGAAGGGAGAGAGAGAGAGATGGGACAGGGGACTGAGAAGCAAAGACTGCTCCTGGGGAGAGGGAAGGTTGTACACAGTACGGATGGGCTCCTCCAGGGAGGTCAGGTAAAAGCTCCACTACAGTGTACGAACAGCCAAGCAACAGCAAGACCCCCAACAGGGAACAGAACACGGACACACAATATTGAAACATGCACAAGAGACGACTATAACCGGAAGGGGGACAAATAGGAGTAGTAGAGATACCAAAAAGAGAGATAACAGCGTGAATGAGATAACAAGATACCACAAAACTTTCTCTATTTATAAATCCAAGAACGGGTGACGTCTCTCCTAAGGACAGAACGGCGCTCGTGTAATTAGACCTCTTTGATGTCCTTTTTTCATTACTGTTATGATGACTCGGGAGGTTTGTTTTCTCGGGGGCGAGTGGGCGAGAGGAGAGAGTGAGAGAGAGAGTGAGAGAGACTGGAGAGAGAGAGAGAGAGAGAGAGAGAGAGAGAGAGAGAGAGAGAGAGAGAGAGAGAGAGAGAGAGAGAGAGAGAGAGAGAGAGAGAGAGAGAGAGAGAGAGAGAGAGCGACATACATGGAGACAGCCCGCTACAAGAGAAGAGTCGTATAGTGTCTTGCATTACATATACATTATATATATAACGGTATAGAGGCAGTGCGCAATGTTGATGCGAGGAACACTGACCTAGCAGAAACTCAAGCAACTGAACTTCCTCTAGAAAACCCGTAACGAGAAAAAGTTTAGAGGAAGAAGTATAATTTATCTTCAAGACAGAGGCAGAAACAGTAAACAAGAATATATAGTTAGGAACCAAAATATATTTCCCGAGATGGGGCTTCTTGAAGCAGAGAACGGTATAGAGAGAACAATCGACATTAACGAATGTCGTTATCGGTTTTAGAATGAAGGCAAGTTGAGCCAATAAGCGCTAAGTTCTCCTGCATTGTCCAGTGCATTCACTGTGAAAAAACACACCACACAGCATACGCCACACAGGAGAGGATAGAGTTCTTGGCACAACAATTTGATTTGTTCCTAATGACATAATTCCACTGGTAAACAAATATATGACCAGGACTCGAACCTGCGTTACCAGGGGTTCATCCCACTGGTGTACCCAGTACTGATACCTCTCCAGCAGCCGTTACCTATAGAGGTGTGTCGGTGATGGGGCTCAACATGCTGCCACATGAGCTCCAG